AAGAAAAGAAAAGAAAAAAAGGAGAGAAAAACAAATATTTGCAAAGAGTAGGGGAAAAAAGTTAAAGATAAGAGGAGCAAAAGAAAAGAAAAGAGAAAAAACCCAAAATAATAAAACTAATTTTGGGAATAAAAAATAACCATGCAGATGAAGGGCCTCTTTCAGGGTATGTCTCTGCTGTCACAGTAGACAATGTGGGTTGCAATGTGCAGATATAAGTCAATGAGTCTCAGCAAGCTAGTCACAGACCCGTGAGATTTAGGCAGATTTCTGGCTGCAAGTCCCAAGTTGAGCTCCCTGTCCTCCTGTAGGGTTGAACTCTGCAGAGTTGTATTGCAGGTACCAGCTGCCCTTCCCCTGAAGATAGTCTCAGTCCTTATGGGAGGTGAAGATGACTCCAACTTACCCAGTACGGTGGTCTGGTGGTCCAGTGTCCTCTGCGTCTTTGTAGTGTGGAACCAGGTGGCTGTACAGAGGAGAAGGGTGGGGGTGTGGGTGGGGTGTGTCCAGTGGATTGCTGCTGGGGTGCGGGCTGATTAGGCGCAGTGACTCTGCTTTGCATTTTTAATTGAGAAGCTGGCAGTAGGACAATAGGAACAGCTCCTGTTGGTGTCCACGTCCTGGGGTGGCTCCCCAACCATTGTTCATCAATTGAATAATAAATTCAGTACTTTTTCAACCTGAGCCCCTTTTAAGGTGACCATGGGGTTGGGCATTTTATATTTCAGCTGAAAGGACCAGGTGAGCTTGAGGACATGGGCCCTCTGCATGGCATTCACAGACCTGAACTGTCAGCAAGTGAGAGAGGCAGAGGCCCAGGGAAGAATCCTCTTGAACTGGCTTTGCTCTGTGGTGGCCAGAGAGGAGGAGGAGGGTCCCTGTCTCAGAGTGCCTAGAGGCTAATGATTACTGACCTCTGAGCTGGACCTTTTTACACCAAAACTTTTCGTAATCCTTGAGCCAAGAACCAAACCTGCTCATCTCATGTCTTCTCTCTTAAATTTGGTAGCAATAACCAAAGAAACCAAAGAAGCCCAAAGACACAGGAAGCCTACTAATGTATTAATATCCACTTGTGTCGTTAAAGGTGGGGAGATGAAGCTGTGGGCACTCGGGGGCCTCAGATTGTGTGGTGGCTTCTGTTGTGCTTTGAGGCTCTGTTTTTCTCTTGCCTCTTAGTGCTGTGGCCCCACAAATCCCTGTCCTGGACAGGTTTGTCTCTGCCGAGTTGTGGCTCCTTTGTCATGGACATGTTCATCACAGCCGGATGTGGCCAGCAGTGCCTGCCTCTCTCTCTGGACTCCCGTGCTTTGGGTTCTAGTACTGGCTTTCCAAACACAGACATCCCTACTTTAACAACTGTAGGAACTGGCCAAGATCCTGACCTTTTGAACTTGAAGGGTGGTAATTCCTATACTCCATACTCTGGCTCTGGCCTTGATATCCCCACCCTAGGAGAAGCGACTTTGAGGAAGAAACCCATTGGTGATTCTTCTCTTAGTGTGGAATGACTTGGGTTGTCCAATAGTGTTGGGGAGGGGTGTATAGTTTTGTAATGTAATGATTTCTATGAAAATAGTAAATCGTAAGTGAATTGTATAAAAATAAATACCTTTTTTGTGTAGACCTTTTTCATGAAACATATATGTGGGGCAAACGACTCTTGCTCTCATGCCCTGAACACTGTCACTTCCTCCCTCCCATGTCCTGACCTGCTTCTCCTTCCTGCTTCTTTTCTGGACACAGGGCAGTCAGTAGGCCTTGGATCTTGTGTTCTGTGCATCTCTATTCAAGGTCTGGTGAGCAAGGTGTGCCCAGTGCTCCCTGTGCTCCAACAGGCACTTTGTCTGTAACATGTGAGTCTCACCAACATCTGGAGATTGGGGGAATGGATCAGAGATGTTGGTTAAGAAAGTGATTTCCAAACTGCCCATTCCTGCCTTGTTATTTATTATTTACATGTTTATTGGCTATGTCTTATAAAATCTTACAAAGGATCTACGTAAAGTAAGTTACTGTAGAACTGCCTGGTTATGTCTGAAATGGGAACTTTGATCCCCCCACCCATCCCACCCTGGTTCCAAATCAGTCTCCCATCTGTGTCAAGGCTGCCTCTCAGTAGACAATAAAACTCCATCAGGGCTGTCCAGGACCCAGGCGAGGCCAATTTAGCTTAGCGTATTCTTGAATGCATAATCTATGAGTTGGTTGCTCTGGCTTCTTTTCCTTTCCTGGGCTTTCTTGTGAACTCATTCCCAGTGATTTCTGGGTCCCAGGAGGTCTCTTTGGTCTTACTGAGAATAGTGTGATGGCACTCAGGATCCATGATACCACCTTTGTTCTTTTCTATACCCCTGGTACTTCAGGGGTAGGAGAGCTAAAAACTCCCAGACTTCCTTGCTGCTTTGATTATATTCTCCTATGTGAGATACACTTAGTGACTACTGGAATGCAGAAATGGGGAAAGCACCTTTTATTTCAGCAGTGGTGGCCAGTTACATGCAGGCCCCAGCAGACATGAGTTTGTGCAGCAGCCAAGCTCTGCGGCCCACTTTCTAGTCACTGCTTCACAGGTGTGGAATAGGTGTGAGGTTGGCAGTTTCCTGGAGCTTTCTGATCTCAGATTATAGCTGCTATGGTGCCTGATGTTGATCCTTTGGCTTCTACAGCTGCAGCCATTCCTGTGCCTTTACTAGCACCTATTTCTGCTTGAAACATCAAGAGTAGTTTCTGATTTGTGCACTGAACTCTCATTGGTAGTAGTGCTCCATGCTTCTCTGTGACTTCCTTTTAACCTTAATAGATACAGAGATAAAGGTGGGAAGGCAGAGTTTAGATGGGAAAGAAGGATCCCTGTAGTTGATCCCATTCCTGCGACTCTTTGTAACAGAGTGGTGTGGCTTTCTCCAGTGGCTCACATCTTAGCTGGGTGGTCTCCTGATTTCTTGGGCTATATTATGGCCCAGGAGGCAAGCAGACTCTTGTTGATAGGACTGACACAAAATGGTTTGTTGCAGTGCCTGCTTGATATTAGCATTGGCCCAACAACTGCTTTTTTGCACAGTTTTCACACAGCTCATAAAATGAAAGGGGAAAATTCTGCCCTAGGGCAGGACCAACATGCTTTTTCATGGAAACAGATTCTTCCAGGCGTTGTACTGTAGCTCCAGAGAGTGCGTATCTGGAGCTATGGTCAAGACCTTATCCTGCTGCTTTGCCCTACCAGCTTTGATCACTGTATCAGTCTCCCATACAATGGGCTCTAACAGCCTTGGTCTGGTCTAGAAACAGAAGCATTTGGGGCCATGTGACTTAAGTGCTTGCTGGGTGTGTTAGCTTCTCTACAGGAACAGAATCAGTGGAATATATATGTCTACTTACGCAAGGGGATTTATTAGGCAGGCTTACAGGATCAGAGGTGGGAGAATCCACAATGGCCATCAGTGCACTGGAGAGCCAGAGGATTCAGTAGCTGCTCAGCTTAAGAAGATGGAAGCCACAGAACAAGAAAGATCAAAGATGTAGCACCATTCCAAGACTGAAGGCCTCGAAGTTCACTGGAGAGTTGATGATGTGAGTCTGCATTGGAAAGCTAAAGAAACTGGAGACTAGTGTCCAAAGGTGGTGGCGAAGACTGGCGCTCTTCCAAAACAGGCACACTTTTGTCTTTCCCTTTTTATTCTGTCCAGGCTACAAGCCTATTTGTTGGAACCACCCACATCTGGGATGGGTCTTTCCCCCTTAGGTTGCTGGCCTACATGTCAAACATCCACAGACATACCCAGAACCAATCTTCTAAGTGTTTCTTTTCTTTTCTTTTTCTTTCTTTTTTTTTTGAAGTACCAGGGATCGAACTCAGGACCTTGTGTTTGCAAGGCAGGCACGGTGCCACTGAGCTAAATCCCCAGCCCTTGCTAAGTGTTTCTTAATGTATTCAAATTTCATATATCATGATTAACAGTCACACCCGGCCTTTAATACAAGTGTAAAAAGGAACGGAGTCTGTGTAGGTGGTGAGGTAAGTCCTGACTGTTCTCAGGAGTCCCAGGAGGTTACTGATGGGAAGCCACCTGACACTCATATGGGGCGGGGGAGTGGGTCTAATAGATGGATGCAGAACCCACTGTCTGCCTCTACATCAGAGCTTGGATTACCCACAGAAAGCGGAACTCCAACACTTTATTTTAGATAATAAAGAGACATAACCACACTTACTGTCCTTCAGTCAAATCAGATGTAGCAATGTTTGCTCACACATACATTAGTCAGCCCCACCCCCACCCACATCAGAGAGGATCTCTGGGCTGAGGTGACCCCTTTTCACTCATTTAGCTGGCACAGCAGAGCAGATCCCTTGGCAATCCAGTAGTCTTTGGACCTCTTAGATGGTAAGAGGACAGTCACCACGAAGTTGGTTGAGTGGCCTAATTAAGTAAGAATATGAGGAAAAAACTGTTAGTTGAAGAATAACCTCTGTTTCAAAGAGACAGGATATTGAGAATTAAGATCTCTTGGGTTCCAGATCTGACTGTCTCTAAAGACATGGCAAATAGTTCTCTATAGATTCCAGTCTTAAGCTTTAAAAAGTGAAGATTTTTAAGCCAATGGTCCTTTTATATCTGTCCAGTTTAGGTTTGGTATTACTATGAATTGTGCTTCCAGTTTTCTCTAGTCTGACTCTAGGAGTGATGGGTTAGGATCCAAGCCTGAGCTTTCCGGGCAACTCCGGGGCATGCAGTGGTATGTTGGGCATCCATTCATTCATTAGTCCACCTGTCCATCCTTCCATCATTCTTTCTTTGGTCTATTCTGCTGCCATAAGTACCTGGGCTCCTGGATTTGCTACTTCTGGCACTGCCTTCACAGGAGCCCCAATCTGTGTCAATATCAGGGAAGGCAGTCCCAAGCAGAGAATACTGATACCTCCATCTCCTTGCCTTTGTATTCCATTCCCTGAATGACAAGCCAATTCCTGCATCTAAACTGTTAGGAAAGCAATCCCGGAAAGTTTTTATATGGATTTACTGAATTTCTGGGGGCCTGGAATTTAGCCCATGCTTGGGAAAGACCCAAGCTAAGTCCCTTCTTGCAACCTTCTTTCCCCCTTTTCCAGGCTTCCCTGGGGGCCAGCCAAAAGCATGCACTCTCCTCAAGCAGTCAGTGCCAGGGACTACACGAGGCCTCCTCTAAGTCTGGAGAAGTATGTGGGCCATAAACAGCACCTCCCTAGGTGGATTTAAGCAGTCAACTTGCTCTTGGCCAGAAATGATTGAGGTGCAGTACAGAATTCTGTCTCTGGATCTCACCTCTGCTTTCTGAGGCGTTCATTGTACAGTTCATTGTAGAGTGCTGAGATGACTCAGCAGTCAGAGAGTAACTGTCTCCAAGGAGTGGATAGTTGGGATTGGTATTTTTGTGGCTTGCTCACACATGTGACTGTTTGAATAGAAGTCCTGAAGGCTGATGTCAGAGGCCCTATGCCAAAGTTGCTGCAAAACCGGCGGTTAAAGCAAGCATATGGATGCTGTGCCCATGGATCATGGTTACAGAAATTAAAGGTGGACTGTGACATTGAAAGGAAGTTGTGGGTAACTGTGTGCATGTGTGACAAGGTGTGGAAATAAAGACTATGTCTGGCCTAGAAGGGCCGCTGGTGCTTGGTATACAGTATCTCAGACCCTTGGAGGCTTTAGAACTGTCAAGCCAGGCCAAAGATAAGCTTACTGCCTCTAGAAAGGACGAAGGCCTGTCACTAGTCCCAGCTGGCCAGCCTCCAGGTGGATGGGGCTATACCTCAGTGAGAGAACATTTTTTATATGCATGTGTGTTGCTTTTATTTTATTTTCATCAGTGAGGGAACATGTTTTCCATCTGAGAATAATGCAGGCCTCCGTGAACTTGTAATAATGTGAAAACTGCCTGCTTTAATTACATTTACACTGATACAACCAATAAGAGACTTAGACATATGTTAGTTTAATTAATTTTAAAATCAGCATCATTCTGTAATTTTCAACTTAAAAATGTATTGAGAAATTTTAAGAATGCAGTGATCTATGATCTAGACTTGCTGTTAACATTTGAACAGATTTTTCTGTGAAAAAATCCAAACATCATAGATACAATCTAAGCTTTTGCTCCTGACCTTGTCACCCATGCTCTTCTATACTCTTTCCATATTATTTTGAGCATGTACTAGACTACATACAATATTACAGTATGTATCTCTAAATCATGACTCTTAAAACATAAGCACAGTACCACTATCATAGCTAAGATATTAATAATTCTTTAATAACAAAAATGTAGTCACTGATTGAATTTCCCTAATTGGTGTGTATGTGTGTATTATATACAGATATATCTATATATGCATATATACATATGTAAAAATAGTATAGGTATCATATACATACAATTAAGAGTTAGTTTGTTTGAGTCAGAATTCAAATAAGGTATGTATGTTGCAACAATGATGTGTCTCTTAAACCTGTTTGAAGTGGTAGATCCTCCCCACCCCACTTCTTTTGCCACCCCATGTAACATATTTGTTGAAACAATCAGGTTATTGTTCTTATTAAGTTTCCCAGTCTGGATTTTGGTGACAGCATTTGTGTGGTTTGTTTGTTTGTTTGTTTGTTTATTTATTTATTTGATACAAGGTCTTATTACGTAGTTCAGGTTGGCCTTGAACTCACTATGTAGCCCAGGCTAGCCTTGAGCTCACAGCAATCCTCCTGCCTCAGCCTCCCAATCTCTGGGATTACAGGCATGCACTACCATGGCTAGCTCTGAGTTTGTGGTGATTGTAAGCACATTGCTCTACCCTATATAAAGGGGTGTTTAACTTTAAAAGTGTGATCCCACACAAGTTTGAGTTTTTTGGCAAAACCATTTCATAGGTTGTATGTACCTCCATCAAGAAACATACTATGTCTAATTTGGGGGCGGGATATTAGCAGCCATCATGATTATTACTTAATAGTTCATTGGTAGCTAATTATTTAAAATCTTACTGATGATTAAGTCTATAGAATCCACCTGTCATTTAATCTCTTTATATAGTGTGAGATAAGAATTTAGTTGAGTAGCACAATTTGTAGCATAATGTCTCCATTCCCAATCAGTTGTAAATGATGTTGCTGTTATGTCAAGTTCCCATATGTGCACAGGGTATTTCTGCACTCTCTGTGGTGCACTGGATCGATTTGTTTTGTCTTATGCCAGTGTAGCATCATTTTAATTCTAGTATTTTGACATTTGTTAGAATTAGATTCTTCTACTTTATTTTCTTTAAAAATATTTTTCTTTTTTTATTTCATGTGTCAGAGTAATAAATTCCATCAAAATTATATTTGTTTTATTGAGGATATTTTGAATTTGGATATTAATCTGGGAGGAAACTAGAGTCTTTACCATATTGAATCCTCCCCCCTTATGAACATGATATAGCTCCTCCATGTATTCAAGTCTGACTTTATTTTATAAAGTCTTCCAAAAAGATCATGCCCTTCTTTGTCAGATTTAACCCAAGTATGATCAATTTTGTTTTTGTTGGAGTGGAATCTTTTATTTCACTTTAACTTCTATTTTTTTTGATGGGATACTGGAATTCTGTTAATTTTTACATATCAGTCAGTCTTGCTGGACTTCTATTATTTCTAAAAGATTTTCTGTGGATTATTTTGGGCTTTCCATGGAATCAATTATGTTGGCAAATGATTCTGTCTCTTCAAATTCTTACATCTCACTTCATTTTCTTGTCTTATTAATTTGGCTAGGGCTTTCTGTATCGTACTGAATTGCAGGAACTAGAGTAACCAATGTGGTATTGTTTTGATTTTAATCAGAGCATCTAATATGTCATCACTAAGTATGAAGTTGGTTGCATTTTAAAATTATTGAATTGATATCATCAATGTCTTAAACTGAATGTGGTTTAGTGGGCAAAGACCAGGACATCCTCTGCTGTGGAAATACTTTTCACGTAGCGCAGCTCCCACAGCCACCCAGAGTTCCTTGCTGGTGCGACTGACCAGTGATGCCGACCACTTATGTCTGCCTTTCCCATACTCTAGAAGGCCAAAGTGCTGGGCTAGAACTTTGATCATGACCATTTAGGACAAATTTAAACAGTCTTCATCCTCAAAGTGAAATATTTCATAGTTCTCTAATCCTCTCACCCATAAGTTCACATCCACATCTGGGGAAGAAGCAGAGTCAGGGTTCAGGTGCTTCTAACAGATTGTTGTTTCTATGTCAGTGATAAGATTCTTTATCACTAGGATAAGGAATTCACCTGCCTACCTTACTGGTCTACTGAGTTTTCACCATGACTGCTTGTGATTTACTTAGGTAGTATTTACTATGTATTACTATGTATGTATGTATGTATGTATATATGTGTGTATGTGTGTATGTACATAGTGTTTACTATATGTCGGGTACTACCCTAAGCACTTTACAAACATCAACACATTCCTTTCTGATTACTGTATGAGACAGTACTATTTCAAAAATTATCCCTACCATTTTGTGATATCTCTTAATCCAGGACTCAAATGTTTCTTTAATCTTGGGAAACTAGCTATCACCTTTTATTTTTGGCAAATATTCCCTCTCCTCTATTCTCACTGTCTCCTTCTGGGTACTTACTAGGTAAATGTTGGAGGTTCTGCTCTTTCCACAGTGTCACCCTTCCCTGCATCACTTTGGGGGATTTTTATCAGTTTATTCTTTAGCTGTCTCTCAGCCTATCTGTTGAGATGGTTTTCTTTCTATCCCATTTCTTTTTTTAGGGCTCTACCTCTGTTTCAGGTCCACTTAGAGTTTTGCAGCATAGTTTTCCATTTACTAGTTTATTTTAAAATCTCTTCTTTGATGAGTCAAAATGGATTTGGTGAGAGAAACATTTTAGTGTCTAGTCAGTCTGCCATTTTGAAACTGCAAGTTTCTGCTTTTTAAACTATTTTCTCCTCATGAACTTCAACAGAAACAAGCATTAACTATATAACATCAACCTACACTCAGAACAAATACAATTCACAGCATTTATAAATTTGAATGATTAATTGGCCCAAGAACTCCCTTAGTACATTTGGGCCTCAGTGAAGTTTTTGTTTGGTCATTACTGTTTTCTTAACAGCGTCCTTACCTGTGGTTGAGAGTGTTCCTGCCCGGGCCCCTGTTTTATAGAGTGGGGAGTGGTACAGTGTTGGGCCTGGCTCGTAGTTTTGTTGTGGTTCAAAATGCACCACAGGCAGCATGGGATTCATCTGCCCAGGCAGTGCGTCTTCTATGACCATATCCTTGTCATCCCACCGAGAAGCATCCATGAACATCCCATGAACAAGGACGCCGTCCTCTGGAGAGGGCAACTGAAAGACACAAGTTAAAAGGTCAGAGGAGGAGAAAGGGAGAAGCAGTTTGGACCATGTCCTCTGTCTCACAACCTTATCAGGTAGTTCTCAAACCATTTTAAAATCACAGTTATTACATTTTAGAGAGAGGCACCCCAAGGCTCTGAGAGGTCTTGGTCTGACACTAAATCTCCTACTTTTCACACCCTGCCAGGATGTCCAATAGGGGAAGCACTCATTGTAGGTGGGCTTCAGACTATCTGATACCATGGTGTAATGATGTTTCCTTTCTCTTGGAAGGTGGATGGGATAAGAGGGCTGGGATTATCATGTTATTCTTAGTGAAGTCTTTCCAGGATCAGAATGCCTTTTGCTCTCCTAGAAGGCAGATTATACATCTGGAATAATTAATATTGACAGAGAGCCTCAGAAAGTTCCTTTCTTTTTTTTTTTTTCTTTTCATTAAAAATCATGCTTACAGGCTGGGGATTTAGCTCAGTGGTTCTGACGCCCTGCCTTGTAAGTGCAAGGTCCTGAGTTTGATCCACAGTACCAAAAAAAAAATCATGCTTACTTTTTAGTATTAGAGAGAGAAAGGAGAGAGAGAGAGAGAGAGAGAGAGAGAGAGAGAGAGAGATCTTGCTCTTTAGTGTCCCATGTCTGGATGTTTCCACAGGTGGACCTATGCCATCCTTCCTCAAACACTGTGAATGTGGCTAATTCTGGGGCTGAACTTTTGGATAATTGGAGCCCCACACCTACAATCAAAGGATTAAGCAGTTTGGGCAACATGTAACACACTGCAGAGTGAATACATTCCTTTTGCCTGGTCTTTGCTTTTTGGTGTCCTGAACTTTGTTTCTTGGGTCCAGCAGGGTGGGATGGAGCTTCTGTTTGGGGGTTGCTATGGCAATTTGTGCAGATTTGCTTGAAAACCACCTTGCCACCTACTTGCCAAGCCACATGCAGGAGCTACCTCAGTGGGCTTGCACCCAGAGGAGTACCTTTTCCTAAATGGTACAAAGGTGGCAAATGGGCTGATAGTAGTCCTGCCTGTTTGTAACAGAAGTAGAACTCTCTGAACACGTTCCTTGGCTGTCTTTTTCAGATGTCAGCTGGGTGAACCAAGAGATCGGCCAGCTAGACCATCTGAGGCCCCCAGAGATTTCAGGCATTCTAAGGTACTGTCATGGCTCAGTGCACAGGATGGGTGGGGTGGAGAGACAGAGGCCCTGGGGGTCACTTGAAACCCCTTCCTGTCAGTCGGCCCCTGTGGCAGAGAGAGCATGCCAGGCACAGAGCATCTTGGGAGATTCTGGTGATGGCTTTTATGTGGGTATTTTTTTTTTCCCTCCAGCAGTGTCAATTGTTTCTGATGTGGGCCTGGGACACCTTTAGGCTTTAGTGGGCTCAGCACACCCTGTAGGGGTTGATAAAATATAGATTTCTGAGTCCCAGCCCAGAGTTTCTGGTTCAGCAAGTCTGGAATCAGGTCAGGGAATTTGCATTTCTACCAAGTTTGCCGAGACTGCACACTGAGTACCAATGCACTAGAGAAGTGAACTGTGTCATTCAGCTGTCTACACTGCTTCCAAGTGCATTCCTGATAGTTATCTAACACCATTATACTTAGAGAATGTGTAAAGTTAGCTTACTGATTCCACTGGGAGGCAGCCAAATGGATGACATAGACAAATAATTGATCCCCTAATAATACTAGTAACTTATTGTACCATGTGCTGGTCACATGCTTTGACTGATGTTCATTTATACTGCACTTAGCTCTGAGGTTGGTGCTATCAACTCCATTTTACAGATGAGAATACTGAGGTGCAGAGCTGTTAGCAATTGCTCCAGCACACAGAGGTGGAGAGTGAGTCAGGAGAGTCAAATGCAAGCTTCCTTGATTCTGAAACCCTTGTTTTTAATGTTTTGCTCTATTGCCTTAAAGATGGATAAAGTTACTGTAGGTATCTAAAGAAATGAAACAGTGTTGCTTGGAAAAATGTTTCTATAAATCAGACCAAATTTATGTAGCTCCCTGCAGTCATTGCTAGCTGGGGAGCTTCTCTTAGAGTGTGACTACTGTGCTTCCCTCCTTCTCCTGCCAATGGTGGTAGTGGAGTAGGGCAAGGGGAGTTGGCTAAACTCTTGAATGACTGTGGGACAGAAACTTCTTTGGTATAATATCTGGTGGACAATACCTCTAGGTCCATGGGCAGCTCTTGTCCAAACTGCACCGTCTTGGCAGCTTCTGTCACTGCAGCTTGATCCCGGTAGGCAGGAACCACGCTGTACTTGAAACTCAGCTCATCAATGGGCAAACTGTATTTCCGAGCATGGTTTTGAAGAGTTCCTGTACATATGAAAACCAGAAAGCTGGGTCCTCCAAACAACATTGCTACTCCACACACACTGCACCCCTCACCCAACCAGGCTGGCCTAGCACCAGAGAACTTCCTCTCTAAGGAACACCCAACTATTGACACTCTACTTGGAATTATTTCAGAGAGACTGGAAACCTGTGGGTTATGTTAGGTGAGGACCCAAGAGATGTACAAGTGCTGGCCATGCCTGGGAAGAAGAGGAAAGAAGGCCAATTCTGAAGTGAACTGTCTTCCCACAAAGGAAGTTTCAGGGCCAAAGTTCCCAGCTGTAGGATTTTGTCCAGCTTGGAATGTATATTAGGGATTAAGAATGAGACAAATTAAGGGCAGGCTGTTAATATCTAGTAGCCCCAAAGCCTGGATCCTCTAGGACTCTCTAGCTAGATTTCTCAAGAACTGATGGAGGGACATTAAGGGTATGTTTTAGAGGGAAGAAGGCTGCTCAGAGCTGGGGCCTGTGCAGGTAGAGTGCAGGTGGTGGCCTTGAGCATGGGTCACATGGAAAACTGAGTCACAAGCTTGTGTTCATGTATGTAGCACTGCCCACACTTGAATAATCTTCAAGGGGCAGGAGGCAGGTTGCCAGCTGGGGGGACATCTGCTCTTTCTGCCACCCTTTCCCCCCAGTCATCAAGGAAGAGCAAGGCTTTGTTGGACTGCTCTTTATGCGGTAGCTTCGCTGTTAGGTCCTCAGCACCTGTGCTATGTCTCCAGCTCCTAGAAACCCTGTCTGTAACAAAGCACAACATTACCTGTGGGATTTTTCTAGAGAAAGCACCAGTACCTGTTAGGAATCCTTGAGGAAAGAAGAAACCGGAGATCCAGAAGGACTTAGGCTGTCCTCTTTTGAGCCACAGCTGAAGGAGAGACGTGATATCACAAGGCACTTTATTTCTGAGCTAGAGTTTGTCATCTAAGTCAGAGTGACATTTTGGAGGCCTCCCAGGAAGCAGACGCTAAGCTGGTCCTGAGTTATGACCATCCCATTGTACTGCCTGGCCTGTCCCTTCTCCTCACCTCCCAGCATGATAGCAGAATCTGATAAGTACTAGCACAGATGAGAGGGAGAGGGCAACAAAGGCACATCTGGCTGTTTGGAATCATGTCAAATAGCTTCTGTATTTCCCAGCAGGATTCCATGCACTATGGTGAAAACTCCAAGAATGGGCTGGCTAGGGAAAGTGACATTATAATCAGCATAAGACTTTCAAAGGAATGCTCATTTGGAAGTTTGCTTCTCTGGGCTCAGATGACCCTTCTACGATTGTTAGCCAGAGCTTCCTAGGGACTTTAGGGACAAATGTGCTATTCCCTCTGAGAGGTGTAGTTTCTTACATCAACAAATGCAGTTCTCAAAATAAGGTCCTTGACCCATGATCCTAGTGGCTTCAGGGAAGGGTAGGCTGTGTTGGACCATAGAGAAGGAACCTGGTTGTTGAGGAAGCTGTTGTACACCTTTTCCATTTCTTCAGACATCACTACAAATCCAGCAATGGCTTTATTGAGTGTTTCTAGAGAAGTCTGCAAGAACAAAAGGATTGGCGTCCTCTGAAGCTGTAATTATCAAGGGCAGATGACATTCATTCATGACACTCATGAAGGGCCTGCCAGTGGGTTCTGTCCTTTCTGCACACTGCCTACTGGACCAGGCCCTGCAATATTTCATGCATTTTTTTTTTTTTTGCAGTGTGTGACCATAGGGTGTAATGCTGGGCATGGGAGAAGGTTTAGGGAGTCAATATGAGAGGTCAGTGTGGCAAAAAGAAGGAAAACAGGAGAGACATTCCCCGAAACCTAGGGACTTGGGCTTGGAGAAAACGACCATCCAGCTCTCCTTAAGGGCAAGGGAAAAATGGGTCTGATAGTGATTTGGGAACCATAGGGCCTGGAGATGTGTAGGGGAAAGGGAATGAGGACTACCTCATGCCACTGGTCCTTGTTGCTCAAGGAGTTCCTACAGCCTTGGGGCTTTTTATAGCAGAAAGGCAAGATTCTTAGATAAGACTAATCTTCCAGCTGACAAAAGTCTGCTAGTACTGGAAATACTTCCTTACAACAATACTTCCTTATCCTCTCCTCCTCTCCACAGAAGACAGAGAGGCAAGCTGTAGTCCTGGGAGGTGCTGGGCTGGCAGTACAGGGTGATGTTTGCCACCCGGCTTATGACCAAGGCAGTGTAGATAGATTAGTGATGGCCCCTCTGGGTTCCAGTTATGTGAAAACTTTCATGTATTGGGAAAACATAATAGGAAGATGTTAGAGGCACTGTTTTTGTTGGTTAAACACCAAAATAAAGCCTAGGACCATGTGCACATAGTCTTAAAGACAGGCAACACGTGGAAGAAATAAAGCTCATTACCCTTCCATTCCTTCTTAGGTTAACTCATTCATCCTTTCCTCTTCACAGCTCTTTTCACAAGAGGCAGTGGAAGAAAAAAATAAGGATTTTAATTAATTTGTTCTTAGAGAGTAAGGCAATGATGACAACCTTTTAGAGCTTTCAGTAATTACAAACAGCCTGCTCTGGCACGAGTGCCATAGGTTCACCATTACTGGTCTAAGGAGTCATCTGCTGCAGAATGCAGGAAGGAGGACCTGAACCAGGGCCAAGACAGTTGGCTAGGAAATAAGAGCACATACCATAGAGGATTCTCATGCAGGCATTTTGTAGCTCACACTCTGAGAAACTATAAAGACTATATTATTAAATGCAAACTAGACATCAGGAGCCAGCATTTGGACTCACTCTTGACTGAGTACTGAAGCTCCTGATCAGTTTCTAGTGCATCAGTGGAAATTCCATTGGTGTAAATTAGGATAATGAGGAGACTGGAGATCTGTAAGGTCACATACTCAGTCATTATCAGAAAGAGGAAACCAGTCTCATTAGCAGAGGGTGAGTTCAATCTTAGACAGGCTGGGTTTCAAGGGACGTTAGCGGGGCCAGGGATTTAGCTCAGTGGTGTGGCCACCTGCCTCGCAAGTGAAAGGTCCCGAGTTCGATCCCTGGTACCAAAAAACACAAAAATAAAACACACACACACACACACAAATCAAGGGATATTAGTGTATCTGTGTAGAAATGGTGGTGTGATGGGAAAGGGAAACTCTTAAGTACACTCATACTATCATAGCTCTCTGTGAAGCTTCGCTACCCAGGGGCAAGGGTAGAGATGAGCTCACATACATGGATTAACTTCAGTAGGTTGTTAAACCGGTCCACTTCCTGGCTGAGAACGGTGGTCAAGGAATTCAGCCGTCCTTGAGGGTCCTTGACGAAAAGGCTCTCAGAAGCTCCCTCCAACATCAGTTTTTCTGAAACACACACAGCTGACTCCTCAGATTGGTCACCACTGATTTCTATTCTCATTACACTGCTACTGGCATGTGTTTATCCTAACATTCTTTCTAAAGCCAACTTCTCTCACGATTCCAGTCAGAGACATAGGGCTTTAAATGTGTTAACATTTCTATTATTGAGAACTCTTTGATGATTCACCTGTGTTTATACAGAAGAGATCACAGAAAAATCTAGCTGAATTCATGTGAATCAGGGAAAATGAGTGTGTGTGTGTGTGTGTGTGTGTGTGTGTGTGTGTGTGAAGTCAGTGAGTTTCATTTCTTACCATGGGTATTTTCATCTTTTGTGCCAGTTTGAGCTGTGTGGCCTCTGGCTTTGGACAGAGGTGGGTAGGTCCTTAATTGCTTAAGTAAGAGAGAGATCGGTCATGCCAACGTAGAAGGAGGACATGAATGGAAGAAAGAGAAGCCTGCTCCCTTCCCTCTCTGTGACT